ACACAACACACCACAAAACAGCAAAACATAATACGAAGGAACAAAACACAACACAACAAACACACACACACACATCCACATGAACGCGGTGGAATCGTGCGCGCCTTTCTCGCCACTTTTTGGGCACCTCTCTGTGTGCGTTCTTGTGCCTTCCTGGGCGCATAGAGGGGAAAAACCCGTGCCTGCAACAGGCAAGCTGAGGCCAAAGAATGACAAGCAGATCTGATTCGCAGGTGCCCATCGCGAGCAGGATCGAATGGTCATCAGCGCCTCCCTCTGAATCCGCACTGCCACTTACCACTCGCCATACAACTTTCCTGCGACCTTTCTCAGCACAACTCAAGTTTGAACAACCTAACACGCAAGGAGGCCTCCCTCGGAAACCAGCTGCACCAAATGCACAGGAACTTCAACCGCTGCTAGTCAGCTCTCCTTTTCTGGTCATTGGCATCTTCCGTGCTGGGAACTTGTGAATTCGCTATCCGAGATGTCGCGTTGTTTGTTTGTTCAGCAAGAGCCCGTAGGTAGTCCATTTGGCCTGCTCGCTTCAACGCCCGGCTGTCGAAATTCAAAAACACGAAGAGACTACATCAAGTCACCCAACACCTCGGTCTCTACATCGAGCTTCCTGGACTGCCTTCGAGTCAAGGCAAGAGGCTTTCACCAGTGCCGCGGTGAGTTGTGGGAAGCTCTGCGTTCTGTGATCCTGAAATCCTCAAAAAGTCAAGGGGGAGGTGCTTAGATTCTTAGATAGCCCCAGGCAAGAATCAAGGGAGCCCACCAAACCAAAAGAACAACAGTTGTCAATTGACAATTGGAACAAGGAACCAACAGGACATGTGCACGAACATGTTGCTCCCACAACTGGCCCAGGCAGTACCTGACGGAACCATCGACAGGACACCCTCTGCCAGAAGCGAAACATCAGGGCGCCTAAACAGAAGCAATGACTCAAGGCGTTTCCTTTATCCACGCTCACCTTCTGGGATTGATTCCCAACGCTGCCACGTTATTTTTGTCCAACCTTGGAGCCTGCTTCTTCTAAATGGCCAGTGGCATGGCAAGCAAGCAGCTCTGAGCTCAGGAATCCGAGTATCTCACGTCTCACCTGTACCTCACCATGCCCGCTTCCTCATCCGAAGACCCGTAAGCGTCATCTGCGACTGCTGTCTGCTCGCAGAAGTGGCAATAGAAGCCCTTCTGGTCGTATCCGCACCTGGGATAACCAGGTAGGAATGCTCGAGAAACTGCCCATCCTGCATAATCGGCCCATCCTTTATAAGCACATGGCGGGCAAGCCCGAGCTCTGGAAAAACGCTAGATGACATGTTCAAACCTTCTTCCTTGTGAAGCGACAAGCCTTGCTAGGCAGCGTAAGGCTTTAACGTTGCCTTTTTGAGGGGGTAGAGTCCCCCAAAACAAGGGAATTGGGGAAGATTCTGGATTGACTAAGAAACTTTGAAGGGAGTTCTGTCCCCCGTTCTTTGCCAGTCCTCTTTTCTCAACACGGTGCACCCGGTGCACCCGTTCCCGATGTCGCTTTGCTTGTCGCGTATTTAGGGATCCAGTTTTTGAGCTTGACTCCCTGTTTTGTCGACCTTTCTATCTCCCCAGCTCCCCACGAAAAGCCTTAAGTCTCCTAAGGGCCAACAAGCCAGAGTTCCAAAAAGGCGAAGCTTGGACCAGCCTTAGGCTATAGCAGAATGAGTTATGAAGCTATGAGGGTTTCCACTTCCCAGCCACCCAAGTTGGAAGATGGACATACATGGTATGATATATGTGTAATTATATAATATACGCACGTACAGCCTTCCTGAAATAGCACCATAGCTTTTCTAATGCCAGACTTCGCCCTTTGGAAGGCATTTGTTTGAAAGACTTGTCGGAAGAACAAGCCATAGACTCATAGGCCCGTCATGTCCGGTTCGATCAAAAACTGGTCGGCTGTGGCTCACTGGCTCCAAACTTCTGCACGGGTCGAGCGCTTTCTCCCTGAGGGGAAGCGTGGGTCATTTTGAGCAGAGCACACCAGACCAGAAGGACTAGGCAGGTACCTAGTACTGGTAGGTGGTAGGGTGAGGGGTAGTACCTCCCCTCCCCTAGGGGGTCAGGATTCCTCGAATACTTTGTTGGCAAAAGGAGCACCTTGGGACCCGTCATTGTGACAACCAGCTTCCCGCAAGTTGGAGATGGGAATGTGCCGGTATCAGTGCTGGGTTCGGTTCATTAGCCCGGGGCGCTTCTTGTCCATGTCTCGCTTCATCTCCTCCACATTCTTGCCGCCCGCCCGGCCCAGGTATAGCCGCTTGCACCCCACGCAGCAGAGCCAATATTGCAGACACCCCCAGATGGAAGAAAGAATGGGCCCGAAGCACGTCCTTAGTCTGACATTGCGGAACTTCTGCATGAATCTGGGAACACGCTAGACTAGCCCCCACCCCCCTCCCGATGTGGAGCATAAATCTGTCCTTGGGACGGCCGCTGCTTTAGGCACATTGGA